CTTGGTCGGCCAAAGTGCTCGGCCGAGATGAACGGCCGACGCGCGCTATGATGAGTTGATCGGCCGGATTGACCGCCCAGCTGCGCGTTGACCGCCCCGCCGCGCGTTGACCGACCGAGTTTGCCGCCCGGTTTGACCGCCCAACTACGCGTCGACCGCCCCGCCGAGCGCTGACCGACCGAATTGGCCGTCCAAATTGACCGCCCAGCCCCGCGTCGACCGCCCGGCCGCGTGTTGGCCGCCCGAATTGACCACCCGAGTTGCCCGCCCAACCGCGCGCCGACCGACCTGTATTGGCCGCCCAACCGCCAATTTACCGCCCCGGATTGACCGCGCAACCACATCCCTCGCACGGGGCCGCGGAGGCAAGCGGCGGACGAGACTCGGCCATGACGCGCTAGGAGACGCCAGCGGCCTCAGAAGCACGTTTGACCGAAGGCCGCTCGCGCTGCGTTTTCCGCGCGAAGAGGTGCCGGGCCGTCGCGCGCCCGGGAAATCCAACGCGAGCGCCCTTCAAGCCGTCGCGCGCGCGGCGGCGCAAAGGCCGCCTCAATCGCGCTCGCGCGCGCCAGACTGCCCAGCGCCGCCGCGGCAGTGGAGCGCGCGAATGCCAAGTGCTGTCTGGTAGGATCTCCGTCCGTCTAGGGGGCCCGCCCGCCCCGTCGCGCGCTTTCCCGCGCGCCGCCCCTGCCTCCGAGTGCCTCTGGGCGGCCGCGTCAACTCCCCGAGGCTCTCTAGATCATCCAAGACGTTCAACGAAGCCCCCAAAGCGTCCCAGGACAGCTCAGGAGTACCCGACGGACGACGCTCGCTGACTTTGATACGGCGCTTCTTGATTTGGGGATGTAATCGTTCCGGGCTCACGTCAGTCCGAGACTGCCAGGGGCGTCTCCAACGTCGCCCTAAGATGGCCCAAGATGTCATAACAATGAGCCGAGCAACCTCCAGTGTGGCCTCGACAAAACCTCGACGGCCCCTAGACGGCGCAGGACGGCCCCAAGGGAACACCACGACAGTCTGCGAGGACCGCCGAAGGTACCCAAGACGGCCTGGGAGGGCCTCTCGACCCCCACCGGGCACAGCCGCCCCCGCGACGCCCCCGCGAAGGCCGCAAGAGAGACCCGAGACGGCTCAAATGGAGCCCAAAACAACCCGGGAAAGCCGCAATGGGACCCGCAAGACGGTCCCACAGGAACTCAAGACTGCCTTGATACGGCACATTTGAGCTCGATGAGAGCACTTCAAGAAATCGATGTGGGAGGGCGTCGCTTGTGACAGCCTTGTTTTTCCCTCCTCACATCATCATCACCATCGTCGCCCTCGTCGCCATCATCATAACCAGCCTCGTCGTCATCATCGTCATCATCGCTCGAGCAGTCGCCACCAAAATTGCTGGTCCAGCGCGGTGGAGGGACTTGTTTCTGGCAGCTGGACGCAAGGCGAAACGCACTCGGCGACGTGAGCGCGGTGCTCTGTTCAGAAGACTCGTCCGCGTCCCTGGGCTGCGCAACGCGAGTCCCCGCGCAAAGAGCGTGTGACATCGCAACCTCGCTGCTAAACTGTGCGCGCGTGCGTTTGCATGCTTCGCGCTTCGTGGTGCGAAATCAAAATCATGCCGACAATCGCGTGTTCGCGTGCTTCGCGGTAGAGGAGGCTGTTGGCGTCGCACGCCTTCAACCGAGCCACGCGTCGCGGGGCCCTGGGAAACGCGCTGTCGGCGAGCGATGGTGCACGCAAAACTCAGGAAATCAAGACCGCCACCCCCGTAGCAAAGCCGATATCGATGTTTGTTGTTCTACCATGTAGGCCGAGGCCGCAAACCGACGGCGTCGCAAGACCGAGGGCGAAACGTAATACCGAGGCCAATGACCGACGCGCATCGCAAGACACAGCGGCAAAACCAAGGCCGAGAACCGACGCCCTGGCGCACAGGTCGAAGCCGGCAACCACGCCTAACCCATCGGACAACCTACCCCGAAAACCGACGTGTAAGTAGATGCAGTAATGTGTTACAAACGACGCTTCCAAGTGCACACCAAAACCTAAGAATCTGGAGCCACATGATAACCCAAACAAAGCTCAAAACAACAAATTGACCGCCAAAAACCACATCAAAACGAAAGCGGATTTCCGTTTTAGTCGCCCTCCCTGCCCCTTCTGGGGTCATTCCTACAGACGACCCCGTTCTCTGACCCCCAGACAAACCAAACTTGTGCTACGCTGTGCAGTGAGGGGGGGAGGGAGGAGAGGAGGGAGTAAAGGGAGGGGGGAGAGGACGAGGGAGAAGGGAGAGAGGAGGGAGGAGACCAGCAGGAGAAGGAAGACGACAGGATGGAAGAAGGGGAGGGGGGAGGAGGAAGGCTCAGGAACGGAGGCCCCTCCCGAGTTTGCGCTGCCCTCGAGTAACCTGGAAGAGGGTCTTGGCCTCCTGCGCGACCGCTGCCCTCACGAACTCGCGCAGCTCCCAGAACTGCGCGTGGGCCGACTTTGGAGCGAGCTCCAGGGCCCGCCAATTCTGCCGCGCCGCGGCAACCACGACGTCCACGTCCTCCCTGCACTCCCTGGAGGCTTCCTCTTGGCGGCGAGCCGGGGGGGAAGTGAGACCGGGCGGGCCTTCTCAGAAGGATCGGACTCCCCCCCGCCTTCTGAGAAGCTTCCTGCGCCTTCCCCGGAGGCACCGAACACCCCTCAGAAGGCGGGAGGGCTTCTGAGAAGCCCCACGGCATTCTGGGATGGCCTGCTCCCTCTCACTTCCCCCCCCTCCCTCGCCGCCGGTGATGCCATTCTTTGGTCCCCGAACCACCCTGCCTGGCCAAGTGCACCGCGTGGCCCCAGGGCCTGGCAAGCTCTCGGATCCCCACCCTGCGCCCGGGCAGCTCGCTCGTCGCGCCTCGGGCCGCGCGCGGAACACGGAGCGAGCGCTCCGCTCCGCGCACCTGCGCCGCCCCTGGAGGCTGCGAAGGGGGCACCAGCGACTTTGCGGCAGGCGCGCGGGCTGGGCAGAAGAGGGATCCGAGGATCCCGTTTTGTATGGGGACGGACGGAGCACGGTGGCTCGGTGGTCCCCGTCCCCCTCGCCCTGGCCCCCTGGTGACTTCCGATGTGATGCTGAGTCTTGGTTCCTAGGCTGCGACAGGAGCAGTAACAGGAGCGGAGCAGAAAGGAGGACAGGGTGGATGAGGGGGAAGGGGAGGGGGAGAAGGAGACAGGAGGGAAGGGCGGGGGGGGGAGGCAAGGGATGATAGAGGAGGGGGGGGTAAGAGGGCGGGGGGAGAAGGCGGTCGCAGAGGCGGAGGAGTCGTAGGGGCTGGAGGCCGACAAGGAAGGAGACTCGCGTGCCAGAGAAGGGGGGAGGGCTGCGCCCCACTCTGAGCCCCGTGTCCTTCAGTGCCTGCCAATCCTGCCCGACGGCCGCTAGGACGATCTCCTTGTCCTCCCAGATCTTTTTCTTCACGCTCCCGGAGGGGCACTTCTGCAGCACGTCCCAGCACTGCCCCACCGCCTCCAGGACCACCTGGGGCCCGGGGCAGGCCCCCCCCGCGCCTCCACGGCGGGCCAGCGCCGAATACAGCATTGCGTCCTTATCCCTCCTCCTCCTCCTCCTCCTCCTCCTCCTCCTCCTCCTCATCATCATCATCATCATCGTCCTCCTCCTCCTCCTCTTTCTCCTCCTCCTCCTCCTCCTCCTCCTCCTCCTCCTCTTCCTCCTTCCTCCCAGCTCCCTCCCGTCCCCTGCCGTCTGGACTTGCTGCTGGGGTCACCCGACTCAGACCCCCATCGAGTCATGAAAAAACACTGCGGCAATTGTTTATTTGCAGCCTCTGAGGGCCCTGGGCCTCGGGACCGTCAGCCAACGATTCAGGATGAGATGCCCGTCCCCGGGAAGGGGTCCCAGGCCTCTGGGGGTCCAGTTCATACAAAAATCATGTCGTATGGGGGTCTGGGGAGAGGTCGGAGGAGGAGGACGAGGACGAGTGTAGGAACAGACCACGACACTAGCATAACACCTTTGAGGGTCTGCGCGGGCGCCTGGAATCGTCGCTGAGCTCCCCCTGGCGCGCGCCCTGATCGGATATCCAAGAACTCCGAACCATTCCTGCGCCGTTCTTTCCTGCACTGGACCTTAAGCCTCGACCGGGCAGCATCGTCCTCGGCGCCGTCCGACCTCTTCGTCGTCACACGTCTTCGTCGTCTCATCGTCGAGCCCATGTTATCGCTCGGGCACCCAGCCCCCGGGCATGCTTCGGCTTTGTACGTTTACTGCTTCGCAAGAGGATCCAAGATGCTCCTCGGTGATCCTCGCCGAGGAAGAATGTAGACATCCGAGCGATGCCAAGAGCAAGTGCAAACTCATCCGAATGCGGCCGGGGCACCGGGCACGAGAGCAGGGCACGGCGCGCGGCGGGGAGGAACAGAGCAGCGCCCCTGATCTTTCTGGGGCCGGCGGTCCAAAACGGACCCGGACGACAGTCGCACCTGGGAAAGAAGAGCACCCTTCAAGAGTATGAGACCCTCCGCCCGCCAAATCACACAAAACAACCCAGGGCACCCTCCACAAGATGCGCAAAAAGCATGCGGCAACCACGAAGAGCGTTCGGGTACACACCCCGAACCGACCTCGATCCTACACCTCGGCCCGACCGGCCACCACTGCCTTCTCTGCCGCTTCGCCTCGCTGAAGCGGACCGCTCGTCCTTGCCGCGCGCCCCTCAGCGCAGCAAGCACCAACCCGTCGCGGCCAGCGCGCCGCGAGGGGCCGAGGCGCGCGGCGCCGGCCGCCGCAGCCCCCTGCGCCTCCCGCTCCCCCCCCCCCGCCGAGATCCGCGCGCATGCCCGGCCCCCCTGCTCGCCCCCCCGCCCCTGCCCGCCTGTCGGTCGGTCCAAGAGTCCCGGGGGGCGCTCGCCAGGGCGCGCCAGCTCTGCCGCACCGCGGCCAGCAGCACGTCGTGGTCCGCCCAGAGCAGCTGCAGCACCTTCTCGTCCCGGACTTCCTTCAGAGCCTCGGGGCGCCGAGAAGCGAGCGAACGAAGCCCCTGATCGGGGCCATTGCACTCTCTTGCTGCCGATGCTTCTCGAGATGTCTGCGCGCCTGGTGCCTACTAATCCAACCAGCCCTTGAGGGCGCGAGTGGTCGAGGGCGCTTCCTCGTCCAATCCCCGGTCTTCCCCTTCGGGGAGGGTTTGACCCCTCTCCCCCTTCTCCTCCCCTCCGGACCTGGACGGGGCGCCCCGCGGGTCGTTGGAGCGTCCACGATGGCCTCGGCGGGAAAGCCACACTCGTTGATGTTACGATGGTTGTGGGTATGTCTTGGCCTCCTGGGGGGGGGGCGCTAACGAATAACTCCCCCGTTTTGATCGAACACCTCCAAGATGGCCCCGACACCTCTCCAACATGGCCTGGAGATGGCCCCCAAAGCTCTCAAGAGTGCCCCAAGAAGGCCCCAAGATGCCCCCAAGAGGCTCCCAAGAGGCTCCCCCGAGGTATTCAAGGGGCCCCCTTAACCGCCAAGAGGCCCCCCTTTCTGTTCGCCCTCGTCATCCTCTTCCTCTTCCTCATCTGCCAAATCCTCTTCCTCCATCGTACCTTCTCCCTCCTTCCTCCCCCTCCTCCTTCTTTTCTGGTGCCTCCGCCATCCGACCCATCTTGGGACCGGGGGGCCGCTCCCGAGCGGAGCCACGCCTGCGGGGGACGACCTGGGGAGGAGCGAGCAGGGAGCAGGCGATGGGAGAGCGGCGGACACCAAGGAAGACAGACTGCCTCCGGCCGAGGGGCCTGGGGAACCTTCTGGGAGTCAAAGGGTCGCCAAAGACTGGGCGCCCAGCACATCCTCCTCCTCCTCCTCCTCCTCCTCCTCCTCCTGCTGCTCTGCCTGTTCCTCCTCCTCCTCCTACTCCTCCTCCGCCTCCCCCTCCCCCTCCTCCTCCTCCTCCTCCTCCTCCTCCTCCTCCTCCTCCTCCTCATCGTCAGCATCATCATCATCATCATCATCATCATCATCATCATCATCATCATCATCATCATCATCATCATCATCACATCATCATCACTTGGTAGCGTCCAAAACCCGGAGAGCGAACCGACCCTCATCGACGGCAAATATTTTCTGGAGACCTCCGGCGGGCTCCCTTGAAGCGCTTCGAAAGCGCTGCCAAGCACGCCCCCATGCGTGCCTGCACGCGTGCAGGCACGCCTGAAGCGCTTCGAAAGCACTGCCAGGCACGCCTCCATGCGCGCCTGCACCCGTGCAAGCACGCGTGGACGCGTGGCAGAAACGCTCCCGGACCCGCTGCGACCTCAAACGAACTGCTGCGAGGATTCTGGAGCGGCGGAGTTGGGCTGCTGGCGGGCACCACCACCGACCGGCTTCTAATCTGAAACCCTATAGCTCTCAGAGAGCTATCCGGGAATCATCATCATCATTCTCATCATCATCATCATCATCATCATCATCATCATCATCGTCGTCATCATCATCATCATCATCATCATCGTCATCATCAGCATCAGCATCAGCATCATCATCGTCATCGTCCTCATCCTCATCCTAATCCTCCTCCTCCTCCTCCTCCTCCTCCTCCTCATCATCATCATCGTCATCGTCAGCATCATCATCATCATCATCATCATCATCATCAGCAACATCATCGTCATCAGCATCATCGTCATCATCACCACCACAACCACCATCACAATCACGACCACCATCATCAGCATTATCAGTATCATCATCAGCAACATACTCATCATGAGCAGCAGCAGCATCATAATCATCATCAGCATCATCAGCAACATCAGCATCAGCAGCATCCTCATCAGCATCATCAGCATCATCATCAGCAGCATTCTCATCATAATCAGCATCAGCATCAGCATCAGCATCAGCATCGGTATCAGCATCAGCATCATCATCAGCAATATCATCATCAGCATCAGCATCAGCATCAGCATCAGCATCAGCATCAGCATCATCATCAGCATCAGCATCAGCATCATCATCATCATCATCATCATCATCATCAATAACAGCATCATCAACGTCATCAGCAGCAGCATCATCATGGGTCGCAGCATCATCATCATCGTCGTCGTCAGTAATATCATTGCCAGCATCATCATAAACAGTATCACCATCATCAGCAACATCATCGGCATCACCACCATCGTCAGCATAATCATCAGCATCATCAGCATCATCACCTTCACAATGAATAGCAGCAACATCATCAGCAACATCATCATCAGCATCATCAGCATACGAAGCATCGGCAACATCTGCATCATCATCCTCAGCATCATCATCATAATCATCATGATCATCCTCGTCATCCGCGTCCCTTTCGTCCTCCTCGTCCTCCTCCGCCTCCTCCTCCTCGTCCGCCTCCGCCTCCTCCTCCTTCGCCCTCCTCGTCCCCCTCCTCCCTCCCACCTCCTCCATCCTTCCTCCTCCCATCCCTCTCCTCCCTCCCTCCCTGCCTGTCTGCTTCCCTCCCTCCCTCCCTCCCCTCCGCCCTCCCTCTCCTCATGGTCATTCTCCCCCCCCGTGTCCGCCTTCTCCTCCTGCTGCTCTGCCTATTCCCCCCCTCCTCATCCTCCTACTCCTCCTCCGCCTCCTCCGCCTCCTCCTCCACCTCCTCAGCATCATCAGCATCAGCACCAGCATCAGCATCAGCATCAGCATCAACATCAACATCAACATCAACATCATCATCATCATCATCATCAGCAGCAGCAGCAGCATCATCATCATCATCATCATCATCATCATCATCATCATCAGCATCATCAGCATCATCAGCATCATCATCGGCATCAACATGATCATCAGCTGCATCATCATGACCATCATCATCAGCAGAATCAGCACCAATATCAGCAACATCACCATTAGCATCAACATAATCACCGCCATCATCGTCAACATCACCATCACCCCTCTCCCTCGTCCCTCCTCCGTCCTCCCTCCTCCGTCCTCCGTCCTCCGTCCTCGCTCCTCCGTCCTCCTCCTCCGTCCTCCCTCCATCCTTTTCCCTCCGTCGCCCTCCTCCGTCTTCTCCCCCATCCTCCTCATACCCCCCCTCCTCCTCCTCGTCCTCCTTCCGTCCCTCCCTCCCTTCCTCCCGCCTTCCCGCCATCCCTCCCGCTCTCCCCTCCCCCCCCATCCATCCATTATTATTCTCCAATTCCTCTTCCTCCTCCTCCTCCTCCTCCTTATCATCATCCTCCCCCTCCTCCCTCTCTCCCTCTCTCCCTCCCTCCCTCTCGCCCTTCTCCCTACTCCCTCTCTCTCTCCCTCGCTCCATGCATCCCGCCCGTCCTCCCTCCCTCCCTCATCCAGCCTCCCTCCCCCATCCCTCCGCCAACCTCCATCCTCGCGTGTCCATCCTTCATCCTCCATCCTCCCTCATCCCTCGTCCCTCCTCCCCCCCTCCCCCCTCCTGCCTGATCCCTCCTCCATCCTCGCTGCTCCCGCGTCCATCCTCCCTCCATCCTCACTCATCCCTACTCCATCCTGCCTCCTGCCTCTTCCCTACTCCTCCCTCAATATTCCCTCCTGCCTCCTGCCTCCTGCCTCATCGCTCAATATTCCCTCCTGTCTCATCCGTCCTCCCGCCTCCCTCCTCCCTCCTTCCTCCTCTCTCGTCCATCCCCCTCCTCCCTCCCCAAGCCGCTTCGGGCTCGCGAGGTTTCTCGCGCGCCTTGCAGGTGCCATTCTTCGGAGCGGCAGCGCGCCTGCGAGCCTTCTTTCGTTTCCATCCAGCCCCCGCACAGGTTGGATGGCCAGTCCCGCTCATGATGTGCTGCCAGGACCGACCCGCCCCTTCTGGGGCTGCCCGTCCTGTGGCGCGTCCGCCAACTATGCATCGCGCATTCGGTGCCGATGCGGCCGCCCCGCCCCACAGTCTGTCGCAGACAAGGCGCGCAAGGCGGCCAAGCAGATGGAAGCCGGTGGGCCGACTCATGCTCCTGGGGCTGCAGGTGGTCGCCGCCGTGCTGGGAGTGCGTGGGCGGCAGGACCGCCTGGCAGTGGGGATGGCGGCATCGCCCGTGAGCTCGCCGAGCTCAAGCGCAAGTACGCCACCCTCCAGAAGTCCAAGGCTGTGCCCCCTCCTGAGCCTGCGCCTCCGCCCGACCCGCTCGATCTTGAGGTGCAGCGCTGGGAAGGTATCGTCGCCCAGTTTGCCAAGTCGGGCTTGGGCGCTGATGTCCCCAGTCGTGTCAGTGCCGAGCAGTCTCTGGCAGCGGCGCGCAAGGCTAGGAATGATGCCAAGCCACAACTTGCACGCCACACCACGCTCGGGCACAAGCTGCAGGATGCCATCAAGCGTCAGCAGAAGCTCGAGTCCGACGTCAGTGCGCAGGTCAAGGTCGTCGAGGCCGCTGAGGAGCACCTCCGTGAGCTCAGGGCCAAGGTGCTGGCCGCCAAGGACCTGGTGGCGACCCTCCAGGAGGAGCTGCGCGAGTCTTGCCCCAAGGACCTGCGTCCTGAAGGGAGTGATGCTACCTCCTTCGTGCTGCCTGACCTCCCGTCCACTGTGCTGGAGGCCGACGCCGACCTCAAGGCCATGGTGGAGTCGCCTGTCTTTGACAAGTTCAAGGAGGCTGTGCGGGCTGCTGCTGCCGCTCAGGCAGCCCCCGCTGGCCCAACCGTCGGGGATGAGGGCACCGACTGTGGTGAATCGGTTCCCGTCCCTGAGGATGATGATGTGTACATTGACGTCGACGAGGAAGGTATCTCCCAGGTCATCTCCACGACCAAGTTTGCTGGTGACAAACGGGAGCTCCAGGAGTTGTTCAAGTCCCTCGGCCTCGTCACCAAGAAGCCGCGGCATGGGTGATGCTCACCATGGTGCAGTACACCCGAGGGTCTGTGGCCTGCCGCTGTCGTGTATGAGGTTACCACTACCCCCGATTTGTAGGAAGAAGTTGCCGCAGACATCGACGGCGACACAGTTCATCGAGACGTTCAATGGCTCTGGTTGGTCAACGCTACGTGAGCGGC